CTGAATTCATTTATCAGTTCTAGGAGTCTCTTAGATGAGTCTTTGGGGTTTTCTAGATATAATATCATATCATCAACAAAGAGCGAGAGTTTGATCTCATCTGGGGGACGGGTATTTGTATACACAAGGAGTGCAATGCGCACCAACCGAAAGATGGACATATTTGAAACACGGACTTGGGGGGGGACCAAGGGCAATATACGTAACCTAAACATCTGTACCCCCATAATATGCTGAAATAAAAGAAAAAGAAAAAAAAGGAAAAAAGAATTTAATGTGCTTTAATTTCCACTTCTCTAGCCTACAGAAATATTCACCCATTTGTGCAAGAGACATGAACACAAATGATGATAACATTTCTAATAACAGCAAAAGCTTTGGAAATAAATGTTCATTACATTGAAAAATGGCTCAATAAAATGCAGTGGACAAGAGCCTACTATGTGATCTTAGTCCAATTAGCATATTCTATATTTCAGTCCTTTAAAAGACTCACCTTCTGACCCTGTATTAGACAATTGTATAAAGAATGTGTTCTTTTCTATGTCCATTTGGTCAAGTTAATTAAAATTTCTGTTCAAATCTGCTTGTTCTAACAGCTACTGAGGTTGGTATGTTGAGAATCTCCCATTATACTTGTAGATTTATTACCTATTATTTCATACTATTCTGTCAAGTTTTTGCTTTATCTTAAACCTAAGTTTTAAGAGGAGTAAACACTTGTAATTGTTGATTTTCTAGTCAGAGACAAATTTAATATTGAAGAGAGACATATTTAATTATGAAGTGTAACCATTTTATTTCTGGCATTGATTTGACCTTAGACTCATTTTGTCCAATACTGATAAAGCTACCCTAGCTTTCCTTTGATTAGAATTTGCATGGTTTATTGTGTTCTACCTTTTTATCTTTATCTCTTTTGTATCCCCATTTTTAAAAATCATGTCTGAAAATGCTTGCAGAAACATTTATTACATTTACACTGAATGTAATTATTGTTATATTTGTGTTTAAATCCACTTTCTTAATGCCCCACTCATTCTTTTTTTTTTCATATTCTTGCCTTCTTAACTAACTTTTTATTAATCTTTTTTTTACTCTTTACCACAGTAGAAATTATGCACTCTTTCTGTTCTGTTAATGGTTAACACTGAAATTATACCATGCGTATTTTCAAAGTCCAAGGTGAATGAATGCCTGCGCCCGTTGCCAAATGCAATAAAGTGACCTTAGAACACTTCAGCATTATCCTATTCCAGTTTATAGTCATTATTTTTAAGTTGCTCTCATATTTTTAATCTCACAAGACATTATTTTTTGAATAATTCTTACCACTCCTGTAATCTTCTAAACATAATAATAACTAGCTAAGCAGAACTTTCAGATTTTTAAATATTTTCACATGTAATATTTTATTTGATTATCATAACAACCCGATGAGGGAGAATGACTGAGTAGTAGGTAAGAGCTCATTGTGGAGTTAGGCTGCTTGGCTTTGAATGTCAGTCCCAATAGTTGTTTCAATTTGACCATGGAAAAATCTATTAATCTTTCAGTGCCTCTGTTTTCTCATTTTAAAAATAAATGGGGATACAAGAATGAAAAAACAAGCACCGCATGTACTCACCATCAAATTGGTATTAGCTGATCAACACTTAAGTGCACATACAAGAATAACATTATTGGATGTTGAACAGGGGGAGGGGGGAGGAGGGGACGGGCATATGCACAAACAATGAGTGCAATGCGCACCTCCCCCCGGGGGAATGGACACACTTGAAGCTCGGACTTGGGGGAGAGGGGGACAAGGGCATCATATGTAACCTAATCATCTGTATCCCCATAATATGCTGAAATAAAAAAAAATAAATGGGGATAATCATAATTCTATCTGTAAGGTACAAGTGTGTGAGGAATCAAAGTGATAATGCAAGGAATTGGCACATACTAAGTAACACAATGCATATTGTTAGTAGTTTTTGTATTTTTATCATTATTTATCAATAGTACTATCCTCACATTCTAAGGACCTAAATGAAATCTATAGACTTTAATGTTTTTGTGATGTTCACATAATAGATGATGAGTTATGGATTTAAAATAAAATTGTTGATTTAGTGACTTAGTTTACATTCTAGTCCCATTTAACTAGCTTGACCCAGTCCTGTGCTAATCTGGTCTTTAAGGTTATTTTAGCAAAAATTTTTTTTCTATATATTAATATAAATGGTTTAGGAAAGAAAAAGATTAGTTGAGATTGGGAGAGGATATTGTAGAAAGAAAGGAAGAGAAAGAGAAAGCAAACAGCATAAGAGGTGCAGTATGATAAGAAGAGGTGCAGGGCAGCAAATTGAGTGGAGGAGGGAAGACAGTGGTTTGCTTAGGAAATAGGAGGATAGTGGCCAATCTGGTGTCATCGTGGAAGTCAGACTAGTACAAATTAGAATTTTAAAATTGGAGCGGGTCTGTAGGGCTGCATATTGACAGGAAGAGATTATAGAAAATCAATAAAATCCTAAATCCAGCAATTTTTTTTCCAATTGAAGAGAAAGCAAAAACAACTCTGAGATTTTTTTGTTACTTTACGATTGAAAAACACTGAACTGTGTGTGGATTGGGAAGGTTGCTGACTTAAAGAAGTCAAAGTGGTAAGTTATTTTAATGTTTTTTTTGGAGTATCACATAGGTTCCCCCCGCAACCCTGCCTTTTGTCTTTAAATAAGTGGTTTCTGTCATATGATTTGATATAGTTCAAAGTTTCAGAGTCTATTTTAGGCTTGTTGACAACTCATGTTTCAGTGTCCTTCAGTACAAAATGTACTATTTATATTAGAAATGTGCCTTAGCCTTGGCCCAAAAGGTTTCTCTGATTTCAGAGATCTGGTAGGCAAACTTAATTATCTTTGCCTCTTTTCTCTAACCTTCACATGTGACGTATCTTAAGTCAGGTTTATTTCATTCTTTTTATTTTATTTATTTTGAGGGGAGGTCTGGTGGAGAGAGCTGGTTTACTGTTTTAAGAAAACTGCATAGTTCAATGTAAAACTCAAGGGAATTATGACTTTTTTTCAGTAAGAGAAATCACTAACTTGACCAAGTCCTATAGTAATATTACTACCTAAAGCTTTAGAGTATTGAAAACTGGGAAAATAGAAAAAAAAATTAAAAGTCAAAGCATTTAGAGATAAATATAAATGATAAAATAGCATGCATAGATGTGAGATTAAAGTATTTCTGTTAAAATTTTTAATGATACTTCTATAAAATTACTTGCCATAAAGATATTATGAGACATTTAGGCTAAGAACTGAATAAAGGGAGTAGATAACTTTTCTTGGTCAATGTTAACTCATTTGCATGTTAAAAATTCCTTCTCTGGTACAGATATGAGACTACCTTGGATGGGGGAAAACTTTGTTAATAACTGATATTTATATAGGTAAAAAGGAAGTTATAGAAAGACACAAGTTTTTTGGAGGTTGCTATTTTTTGCTTAATATTTAATAGAGCTCTTTATTTAAGTCATGACTTCGGTGCTATTTAAGTAGACTTTAAGCTAAATGACTAAATTTATGGTACTTGATGTGTTCAGAGAAATCCTGAATTTATACTAGAGTCTTCCCTCTATAATACCGTGTCATATTATGGACATTAAATAAAATAATAAATACTTCTTATGTAATATTAATTGGAAAAAAATACTTTTGAGAACATCAGAAACTGGGTAATTTTGAGTTAACAGAATTTTCTTCTTCTTGAAATTGGATATGTTTTATTGAAACTTCATCTATAAATATTCCTTAAGGACTATTGCCTTTTTTGTTAGGATATTATCAATGTCCTATTTCACATTTTTAAAGGAATTCCCAAGGTATCTCGTTTGGCCCATTATAGTAACCATTTAAGCTTTAGAGTAAAAAGAATTTCTTTGTAGAGCAATCGAGGAAACATGAGATATGAGCAATAGAGCATTGATATTTACAACTGTGGATAGCTACTCTGAGGATAACTCTTTCAGGATAATTATTCTAGGAAATAGACATAACAACTATTTCAAATCCGTATTTTTTGTTTTGTTTTTGACGCCAAAGACTCAAGGATTTGTTTGCAGATTGTATTTCATGAGATATAAATATATATTAGTTTTTTTAATGCCTCTCCTATGGGGTTTATAGATCTTCATATTGCTTGCTTAAGTTGAAAATTAAGATTAAATGAGAAAATGTATGACACTACATGACCCTTAGTAGAAGATTATTACATGTTTGTATAACTTCACCTCTCCTGGGATGCCAACAAAAGTCCGCACATTTCTGCAAGTTATCCCTTTTTTTAATAACATTCTAAATACATTGTGAAAAACACTGATTTGTCATTAAAAGAACAGTTCAGAGTTAACTGATGAGACAGTAATGAGAAGTATATTTCAAAACCAACATGGACTTGTCAGAAATTCTTTAGCTGGTCGTTG